AGCTGGAGATGTCTCAGGATGGATTCAGCTCCCTGCTGTCCCCTGTGAGTGATGCCTGGCCCTGGTGCTTGTCCCACGCTGCCATTTACTGGGGTGCCTGATGGATTTTCCTGGATAGAGTCTGGCTGGTTTAATGCCTGGATGGGAGAGACCATCCCTTAGTAGTCCACAGCAGTTATAGGTGCTTTAATTTAGCAGTCAATGCTGGCCCCAATGCCCCAGGGTGGTGTTAGGGGGTGCTGTGCTGCAGGGAGTGGGGCAGGGGCTCCATAGGGGTGCTCCCCCTTTGCAGTCAGTGCTGGCCAAATGCAGCGGTGGGGGAGGGGCAGTGGTGCAGTAGGTGGCTCAGTCTGTTAATTATTTCTCCCTGGCTATATTTTGCTGGGCTGTCTGATTTGTGCAATCCGTTCCCTTTGCTGTGCACGTCCGTTTAGGATGGGCCTGTGCTGGGAGCGGTGGGAGCCTATGACTGGTCCGGTGGGATATACCTGCATGGGAGCAGCAGGGAGCCGAGCTTCATCAACGTATCCAGAGCCTCTGGGGACATGAAAGATGCGTACCTCGGTAAGAATAGCCTGAGAGAAATCTTTCAACACAGCTCTAGCCCAGTGTTCCTGTCAGGTGATTTACAAGCTGCTGTGCCCCACCCCAAACATGGCTGCATCTCAGTGCTGGGGGAAGGATCCCTGTACAAACATTTCCCACACCCCACCCCAGAGACAGCTGCATCTCAGCACTGGGGGAGGAATCCATGCATGAACAGTGCCCGTGCCCCACCCCAGAGGTGGTGCATTTCAGTACCAGCAGTGGGACCCCAGTGAGATCACCCCCCCTGTAAGATTCCCCCGCCCCCCCCGGAAGCAGATGTATCTCACTAACAAGTGAAATATATCCGTTTATAAAAGCTTTTATGTTCCTTCTTGACAGATGAGCTGCAGTCACTTTTTATTGTAATAACTATTCTCATCGTATCACTGTAATTATTGTAATGACTGTCGTTTCCTCATTGTAATTTTTCATATTTTATTATCATTTTAATGTTGATAAATGCAAAGTAATGCACATTGGAAAGCATAATCCCAACTATACATATAAAATGATGGGGTCTAAATTAGCTGTTACCACTCAAGAAAGAGATCTTGAAGTCATTATGGATAATTCTCTGAAATCATCCACTCAATGTGCAGCAGCAGTCAAAAAAGCAAACAGAATGCTGGGAATAATTAAGAAAGGGATAGATAATAGGACAGAAAACATCATGTTGCCACTATATAAATCCATGGTACGCCCACATCTTGAATACTGTGTGCAGATGTGCTCGCCCCATCTCAAAAAAAGATATATTGGAATTGGAAAAGATTCAGAAAGGGGCAACAACAATTATTAGGGGTATGGAACGATTTCCGTATGATAGATTAATAAGACTGGGAGTTTTCAGCTTGGAAAAGAGATGGCTAAGGGGAGATATGACTGAGGTCTAAAAAATCATGACTGGTGTAGAGAAAGTAGATAAGGAAGTGCTGTTTACTACTTCTCATAACACAAGAACTAGGGGTCACCAAATGAAATTAATAGGCAGCAGGTTTAAAACAAATAAAAGGAAGTATTTCTTCACACAACGCACAGTCAACCTGTGGAACTCCTTGCCAGAGGATGTTGTGAAGGCCAAGACTATAACAGGGTTCAAAAAAGAACTAGATAC